CAATCAAGGAAGACAAGTGACATCAACCTTGTGCATACACATGTACCCACACATGTGTACCTACACATGTGTACACATGCATACACATACATGCATACCACACACACCAAAAGAAAAAGCAAGACCAAAAAAATTACCTCTCGGCAAACTAGAACTAGAAAAGAACATTGTCAAACTAAAGAAAAAGAACCCCCACAGCTACCATCACTACACTTGATGAAAGACAGAACACAATCTCTAAGACTGGGGAGAAGCACCTTCAGTACTTGTATTAACGCACTAAAAATTCTAGCAAATGCGGCCAGATAGTAAAAGGTTTGCAGATAGCATGATTACCCAGAAAGGAATTTATGGCCTATTCATGTGCTTGTGTATTTTTGTTTCTGTTTTTTCTTCTTTTATTTGTTTTTTAGGCATTCAGCAGGCTGAAGTAGGAAGATTGCTAGGTCAAAGCCAGTCTAGACTGACTGTACAATGAGGTCCCATTTGAGGGGGCTGGGGGGGGAGGGAAGGAAAGAAGGGAGGAAGGGGAGAAGGGAGGGGGATCAAAATAAAAAGCAACTGAAAATAGATATTTAAAAATCAGTGCCATTAAATACTTCCTCAAATCAAATACTTATAAATCCAACAAAAAGTTTATGTAGATAAGCACCTACCTAAAGACAAAATAAAGATCTCAAATAACAAGAAATTTAAGTTTCTACCTCAAGGGAATTGGAAGCAGAAAAAGCCAGGTTCACTGACAATAACACAAAGAAGAAAGAACAGAGATCAGTGTATAAATAAATGAAATGAAAATATCAACAAAATCAAAAGTTAGTCTCCTGAAGATAAAAATAAAATTAGCAAAGGGTTAGCTGATGAACCAACAAAGAAGGGAATATTAAATGAAATTTAAAAATTAAAGAGACATTATAGCTACCACCAGAGAAAGAGTGGGCATCTCAAGAGACTGCTATGAAAGGTATCATACAAACAACAGATTGTATAACCTAAACGAAGTGGACAGATCTCTAGACATACACAGCCTAGCAAGTATGAACCACAGAAAAACAAATAAAACTATAGCAATCAGAAAATGTGCGTATACTAATTAAGAGTCAGTAATCAAAAACCTCTCTACAAATCAAAGGCCAGAACCAGAGGACACTGTCTCTGAATTCTACCGAACACTCAAAGAAGAGTTATCAACATTTCTTAAACTCTTCCCAAAAAGCTACAGAGGAGAAGGTGTCTAACTACTTTACAAAGTCAACATCACTGTGCTAGAGTACTACAAGGGAAATAGAAGCCCATATCGCTGGTGAGCACAGAAGCAGGAGTCCTCAGCAACACACTGGCGACCAAAGCCAAGAGTCTGTCGACACTATTCACCATGATCAAGTGCCATTTATCCCTGCGATGTGAATATGTACAACTTCAACATGTTAAAGTCAGTAAATGCTGGTCACAACATTAACACGAAGAAAAATAAAAATCACACAATTATCTCAATAAATACAGAAACCAGAACGTGACAAAATTCCATTTTTATTCAAGGTAAAATTTCTCACCAAATTGGATATAGAAGGAATGTATCTCAGCATAGTGAAGGCCACATATAAAAAGCCCACAGCTGCAATCATACTCAGTGTACAATGAGAAGATGATTCTTTTTCCACTCATCCTTTCTATTCAATAGAGTACTAGAATTCTTAGCTAGGGCAATTTGGAAAGGAAAAGAAATAAAGGACATCAAAACTGAAAAAGAAGTGGAATTGTCTGTTAGTAGATGACATGAACTTATCTGGAGAAGACTAAAATTCCCAACAAAATAGGGTTGGAAATAAGAGGTAATGTGAAGCCTCCCAGGAAATGGGTATACCATTGCAGTTGGCCAGGGCCTGCTTGCCTGTCTCCTCCAAACCAGAGAGGTTAACCCAGAGCCCAGATGTGTCCTCAGACAGCTGACTGGGTTGGCCTCCTGACACTCCTACATCCTCAGTGACCTGCACCTGGATTCTGTGCAGGATATCTGGGTGCTGCAGGACAGCTGCTGCTGGCTCACACCATTGTTGGATGGTAGCAGTTGCTGCTTGCACATAACTTTCTTCCTGTGAGGGCTTTGCAAGCCAGGGCCTATGGATCCTGGTTTGGCTGAGATGGGGAACTACCAGTGGTCATGCCCATCAAAGGCTACCAAAAGTTTCATGTCAAAAGAAATTGGGTTGATACCACTACACTTCTACAAAGTGGGAAGACTGGGAAATGTGGCCTGGAGCTGCTTTTTGCGCAGACTTTATTTGGGTCATATGTTGGAATGGGCTGAAAGGTGGCTGTAAATCACATTTTTAACTGCAGGATGGGTGCTCTAACTCTTAGGAGGAGATGAGCCACCCTTAGAAGATTCAGACTTTCAGCCTGGGGACATAGTTTAGTGGTAGAAAGCTTGTATAGCATACATGAGGTCCTAGCTTCAATCCCTAGTAGCCATGAGGGAAATAGAATTCAGAGTTTTAGAAAAGCTTCGTTTGGTTTTTTTGTTTGTTTGTTTGTGTTTGGCTGATCTGGAACTCACTATGTAGATCAGGCTGGCCTCAAACTCACAGAGATCCTCTTACCTCTGCCTCCTGAGTGCTGGGATTAAAGGTAAATGACATCACCCTGACCACAAAAGCTTTTGTCTACTGAAAAATAACGACAAAAAAAATCATAAAGGTAAGAAATTTCACAGAATAGTGATGTACAATCACTGTCATTTTATTATTAATTTTATTACACTTTAATTTAGTTTTGCAAGTGTGTAGATAAGCATGTGCCACAGTGCACATGTGCGAAAAACAACTTGGAACAGCCCATAGATCTAAAGGTAAAACAAAATTTTCCATTTTTCAGTAGGAAACATGGGAGAGCTAGGCCTGGTGGTATAGGCCTATAATCCCACCCATTCTGGAAGCTGAGGCAGGAGAACCACAAGTTCAAAGCTTGCCTGGGCTACAGAATGAGTTTCAGGCTAGCCTGGGCAACTTAAAAGAGGTTTCATTTTAAAATGAAAACAGAACCAGGACTATACCTCAGTGGTAGAGAACTCCCAAAAGTTGTCCCCCACAGATACAACACCAGCGCGCGCGCGTGCGCGCGCGCGCACACACACACACACACACACACACACACACACACACACACACACACACAATCCAGCATCACTTCCTTAGATATCCTTATGTCCTGGAACTTCTTGTTCCATGATCTTTAGCTTTCCCATGTTCTCTCTCTTCCCTTCCCTTCCCTTCCCTTCCCTTCCCTTCCCTTCCCTTCCCTCCCTCCCCTCCCCTCCCCTCCCCTCCCCTCCCCTCCCCTCCCCTCCCCTCCCCTCCCCTCCCCTCCCCTCCCCTCCCCTCCCCTCCCCTCCCCTCCCCTCCCCTCCCCTTGAGATAGAGTCTCACATAGCCCAGGCTCATGAGGTATCCAAAGATGTCCTTAAAGTCTTGGTCCTCCTGCCTCTACCTCCCAGTTGCTAAGATCATTAGTATCCACCACCACACCAGCTCTTCTACCTCTTGAAATTCCACATTTGTGGTCAGAAGATGGTGGTGACATGCAGGAATGGTCTGCTAGAGTCTACGAGAAGACTGGAGACTGGAGACAGCTGAAGAATAACCATCAGAAGAGGTGGGTGGTGCCCGGGTAGTTCCAGCTTAAACAGTGAAGTAAAACAGAGAACTTCACAAGGCAGTGGAGGAAGTTTAGAGTCTGTATCAGAGGGGTTGGCATGATCTGGGGAGCTCCCCATTCCCTGGGAGTAGGAGCGCTGACAGCAGACTGCCGTGGAAGTCAGAGAGGCTTAGAAAATCTGCACCTCGTAGACATCTTGAAGGGCTGGGGCAAGGCCACAGCAGCAGCGTCACAGCAGCACTAGCTGAAGAAACCATCAGGAGGAAAACCTCTCCTCTTCATACTGGCTCCTCAGCCCTGGATTGACTAGCCCTGAGGCACCATCTCAAAAACACCCCTGCTGTGTTAGTGTCTTTGCTTGTTTGTTTGTCTGTTTGTCTGTTTGAGACAGGGTCTCACTATGTAGCTCTGGCTGTCTTTGAACTCGCTCTATAGACCAGGCTGGCCTCAAACTCACAGATACCTGCCTGCCTCTACTTCCTGAGTGCCAAGGTTAATGGTGTGTACCGTTAACCTTGGCTTATGTTGATGTCTTGACAACATAAGGGTCTCTGTAAACTGCACTCTGGAGCAAGTGTCCTAAGATTTTATGCTGATTTAAAGTGGAACCCATTGCTGAGGATGTAGTTCAATGGTAGAGCACTTGTCTGGTATGAACAAGGTCCTGGGTTCTATCCCATTAGAAATAAATAATTCAATAAATTGTTTTGTTTGTTTGTTTTATTTCATAAATAAATATTTACTTAATAAAAATTGTTGTTTCTGCTCTAAGACATAGCATGTTTGCATTTTGTAGTCTGCCATGTCTCTTTGCTAACAGAGTCACATTTTCCCTCTTCTGAACATTTTGCAACCCTTTGAAGGGGACAAAATAAATACAGTGAAGCAGTTTCTAATCTACACTTTCTTCTCAGCATCAAACTGTCTGGACACTGCAGGTAGGCCTCTACCTTCAGAATGTATGGTTTTACCAGTTCAACAAAGTAAGGAAAATCAAACTTTTATAAGGAACTTTCTGAACTGCCAGGGTGAGGATAATCAGCCACCAGCCCAATGTGCTTCTCTTTCCTTTTGCCAAGCAGTTCTGCCCTTTGACTCCAGTCAAAGACCTCCTCTGAGAACTTCGTGGTTTCTGCTGCTTCCTTGGACAAGATCTCAGACTTCAGGAGGACCCATATCCAAGGACCCAGAAAGCAGCCTGAGCCAGAACAAGGGATAGGCAATGGCTGGGGGGCACGGGAACAGTCCCCATAGCAGCCTTACCTGCTCTCTTAGTGTAGAGCTTGTGAGAGGTGTACCAAGCCTTGAGAGAAACTGAAGGACATATATTGGTTGTGTCTCCTCAGGAACTATTCCCATCTTCGGTATACCCTATTTCCTGCTGTTCACTAGCTTATGGCCCTTATCTGTGCTCTCCTTAGCCTGGCTTTTCTATGACTGGAACACCCACAGTCGAGGTAAGAGATGTGAGCAGAATTGTGGTCCCTTCTGTGCTAAGGGTGGAGTCATAGGGACAGGGAAAAGAGAGGTGGATGGAGCGATGAGAAGAGGAGAAAAAAGTCTGGCTGCCCATGAAGCTGTAAGAGACTAAAAAGGAGGCTGCTTCTGTATCTTGAGGAGCATAGGCTGAACTCTTCGCCTCTGGGAGGGGTAAAGGGACTGGCAATAGCCCGCTGGCTTGTCTCTTTTTTCTCTGTCCCCAGATGGTAGGCGTTCAGCTTGGGTACGAAACTGGACCCTCTGGAAGTATTTCCAAAGCTACTTCCCAGTAAAGGTAACCACCTTTCCTCCGGATGCCCACCTTTCCTCCGGATGCCCACCTTTCCTCCAGATGCCCACCTTTCCTCCGGATGCCCACCTTTCCTCCGGATGCCCTTGCTCCTTATTGCTTGAACTCTTACTCCCTATTGCGATCCAGGTTTTCAACGGCTCTGATGGCCAGCAGTGAAGGTGAAGGCCTAGCAGCATAATGTAGAAAATAAACCCAAAATAGATGTGCAGGTGGGGAGACAGGAACAATACCTCCCCACAGTGTCAAACCCAAGCCAGCTGTCTCTTAGCACCAGGATCCCTGGGGATCTTATGACAATAACATCCTAGCGAGCAAGGAGTTAAGGCTGTTGGCTTGGCTCTGAACTTTTAACATCCTTTCTTCCTTCTGCTTGATCAGTCTCTCAATCTTCCTTTAACAGCTGGTGAAGACCCATGACCTTTCTCCCAAGCACAACTACATCATTGTCAACCACCCCCATGGCATTCTCTCTTTTGGTGCCTTCATCAACTTTGCTACTGAGGCCACTGGCTTTTCCAGGATTTTCCCATCTATCACTCCCTTTTTAGCAACCTTGGAAGGGATCTTCTGGATCCCTATTGTGCGGGAGTATGTAATGTCCATGGGTGAGTACAGGAAATCATCCCATTCTGAAATCCAACTCAAGATGCTACCCCAATAAGCCCCAATAGTCACTCTGTGATAGAAGACTTGACTGATTTTTTTAAAGAGTCCAGCCAGTATCAGGAGTATGTGTCTCAGCATCAGTTTCTGTACAAAGTCTGAGAGGCAGTTTGATTGGGCAGCAGGGGAAGTTATAGACATTCACAAGTTGCCAGGATTCCTTACAAAGGGTAATCAGAAGGCTAAGTGCAGAATCAAGCCCAAATGGAAAGAAGAGAGTAAAAGCCATATATTAAACATAAATACAGGGAAAACATGCCAGATTCTTTTCTGGGATGACAACTGGCTTATTTCAACTTTCATGTCAAGGAACCTTAAAGTTATTATAAAGTCTCTCATACCAGTTAGTACATACAATCTTGGTCCATGTCCTGCATCTCCTGGGAATCCCTCAATCCTTGCTTATGTCAAAGGATAAAGGACAATTATCCATCAGAATTCAGGACAACTTCCCAGTGCCTCAAACCAGGGTACTATGACAGGTTCCTTTCTCTCTGGATGAATATCTTTCTGGACATCAGAAAACAACTGAGGACAAACTAAAGGTAAGCTACATTTATCTTGAGGGGAATCCCAGAAGATGTTTCAGCTCTCCTCTTAGGTTAGTATGGCCATGTAGCAGGTGTTTCTCTCAACGGCTAGACCTTGGATGCAAATTCTGCCATCCCAATAGAGAACAGAAGATGAATTCAATGCAAAAATGGGATTTCAAAGTGATGAACATCTGCAGCTTTTGTCAAACAACAGGATGCCATCCACAATCCATTGTTCATCTACATTTCAATTTGGCTTGGTCTGCCTGCTCACCCAAAATCCTACTTAATGGATCCTTTTGGCAGCTTGCTCTTAGGAAGGAAGCACACTGGTAGTGGCTAGCCTGATCACCTCCAGAAGATATGCCTCTGGAGGGTTTCTGGAGTGGTCAGCCTGGACAGAGAGAAAGATAGCTCTACAGTCTGTGGGTAGAAATGGAACGGGTTCATATGGAAGACAGGAGACCATGAGTGGGAGCAGGTGGAGAAAATCAGGATAGCCCTTACTGGAGAGTCCTACCAAGGCAAGCAAGCAGCTGCCACTAAAGATACCTTCTCAGGCTAGGGTAAACCCAAGACATGAAGACCAAAGGCAGAAGGTGGTAACTGTCTGCAGCAGGAAGAACCTGGGAGAAGCCTTCTTCCACACTTACTTGACTCTTTGCTTTCACAGGTATATGTCCGGTGAGTGAGTTGGCCCTGAAGCACAAGCTGATGCAGAGAGGCTCAGGCAATGCTGTGATCATTGTGGTGGGTGGAGCTTCTGAAGCCCTCTTGTGCCGCCCAGGAGTCTCCACAATCTACCTCAAAAATCATAAAGGTTTTGTGAAGCTAGCACTGAAGACAGGGTGGGTCCCTAGGTTCAAGGACTCTCTTGTCATGGTGCCTTAGGCCCTCTGTAACTCTATCTACAATGACACCCTCTCTGGGAAACCTGCTAGATACCGCTATTTTCCTCTGATTACTTCCTTTTACCCTTCGCATTATGCCTTGGGGGTATTTGGACCTCTAAACATTTGGTGGTTAGATCTTGAAGTCAGGGAAAGAAGAGCAGAAAAAGGTCCATTAGTCTGGGGCTCTAGGAGAGAGTGGCTTTGTTCTGTATTAACTCCTCGCTGGGAGGCCCTGAGAACCACCCAAGGGCAGTGAAGGTACTGGCTGGGTATTCAGGGGATGGATGCTCAGAGGATGCCCCCAGAGAGTGTTTTCAGCAGCTGTCAGATACCTACTGTGTGTCAGGCTTAGTATGGGACATTGAAATACAGGAATAAACAATACCAGGTGCTTGTGGACTCACCGTCTAATGTAGATGACAAATACATGCACATATCATAACAAAACATATGTAGAATCCAGCTACTTGCCATCTCAACTACCATCCCCATGGTCTAAGCACCCATTATCTCTCTACTGGACCACTTCAATACTTGGAACTGCTCTTTCTGTTTCTGTTCCTGCTTCCCTTGCCTCAAAGATTCTATTTCCAGTTGTAGCTAGAATGATCCTGGTAACCATGAGTCAAGTTATATCATATCTCAAAATGCTCCAATGACTCCCATATCAGAGCAGAAGATCTTGAAGAAACTGGTCTTCAGCCACTACCCGAACTTCACTCCTCACTCCTCCCCATTGCCTGCTCCTTCGCTGCTAGTAAACACCATGAGTATGGAGATTTTTCCTCATCCCTTGTGTTCACTGGTGTATCCCCATGACCTAAAACAGTGCTGGCACATAAAAAAGAACTCAATGGAAATGTGTTGAGTAAATGATGTATGATAAGGGAGACATAGAAAAATTGCTATGGGGGCACCAATTTATAGAAAGACCTTGGCCCAGACTGGAGGCTTCATCAGAGAGTGACATCTGAACTGTTCTAAAGTTAAAATAAGAGTAAGAGTTGCCAATCAGACAAAAATGGGAAAAGAGCCAGACATTGTGGCTCTTGCCTGTAATCCCCCTTACTCTAGAATCTGGAAAAGGAAGACTACAATTTCAAAACTCCAAGCCTGGAGAAGTTGGCAAGATCCTGTCTCCAGCTTAAAAAAAAAAATTATAGGTCTGGGGTTCCTTCTAGTGATAAAGTGCTTACCTGGCATGTGCAAGGTTCTGGGTTGAATCTCCAGCACTTCAAAAACAACACAGTAAACAACCGAACAAAAGTGAAAACTCAGGCATTCGATGAGGAACTAGATGATATATACAGCACTACCCTAGACCAGACCCCAGGGATTCAATGAGAACCGTCAGGATTTTCACTTCTGATTGGTCAGGAGAGGACTGTGAGGCAGGGTTACGGAGTGGGGGAAGCAGGATAAAGGGGGCACTAGCTGACGGATGACAAATACACAGTGGAAATCAGGGGTGACCAATGATTTCTTTAAGGAGATGTGCTTAGAAGAGAGTACTGAAAGGCAGAATGGCATTTGCTCCATAACGAGAGAACTGCAGAGGGGGTAGAACCCACGGACCAAGTGAGAGAACACTTGGCACACTTACTGTGCTTAAGTATTGGGGAACCTGGCCACACAGGAAGGGCCAGGACACTGAGCTTGTGCTAAGCAGTGAGGGCTACAGTGAGGCACTCTGGGAGAGCTTCCAAGAGAGGAGTGTCATGCATGCTTGTGCAGTTTGGGGAGCTCATGCTGGATGCTAAATGAAGGTGCTAAGTCTCCTGAGCTAAGGTCCAGCAGCCAGACTGAAGTTCCACCGGAGGAAGTGGTATGGAAGGAATGAAACACAACACGAGGCTGGGGGTGTCTGGGTGCCTGAAATCTTGTCCTATTGTTTGGAGGTTGGGGATGTTTCCCACCTCAGAGAGTGTTGCTGGGGGGAGATTTTGCCTCAATGAAGATCTAATTCTGCTGTCCCTCTCTTTGCAGGGCATATATTGTCCCTTCTTACACCTTTGGTGAGAATGAGGTTTACAACCAAGAGACCTTCCCTGAAGGCACATGGCTAAGGTTCTTCCAAAAAAACTTCCAGAAAATTGGCAAAAAAATCCTAGGCCTAAATTTCTGTACTTTCCATGGCAGGGGCTTCACTCGGGGATCCTGGGGCTTTTTGCCTTTCAATCATCCAATTACCACCGTTGGTGAGCTTTCTACTTTTTCTAGGCCACTCAAATTCTTGGTCTACCACCGCAAGTCATCCACCAATCCCCAGGCAATCTGGCTCACAACCAGAGTACCCTAAGGGAATGGCAATAGGTGCGGCTGAAAGCAGGGTAGGAAAGACAACCAAAGAGCTAACACTTGGGGCCATCACAGGGGGGCCAGAGCTCACCTGCTGTCAGAGAAACATCCTTATTCAAGTATATTCATTCACCTCTTTCCTGTGCTTGCATTCATTCTCTGGAACATTGGTGAAATGTGAGTGACCAGAGAACGCAATCCAGAACAAAGGGAAAGAGTGAAGAGAGGGGAACAGCCCCAGAGACTGTGGGAATGTGCTCCCCTACTGAGGTGTGGGTAGTGTCCTTGGAGTAGGGACTCTGATACTTGTCTCTTCTCCTCCATAGTTGGAGAACCCCTGCCAGTCCCCAAGATCCATGATCCTGACAAGGAGACAGTGGCAAAGCACATGGAACTTTACATCAGTGCCCTGCGCAAGCTGTTTGACCAACACAAAGCTGAATATGGCTTCTCTGAGACCCAGGAGCTGACAATTATATAACACAAATCCGAATCTCTGTACTGCTGTGGGATATCATTCTGTATGCTGTGAATATGTGTTGCTCTGATTGACTGATAAATAAAACGCTGATTGGCCAGTAGTCGGGTAGGAAGTATAGGCGGGGTAAGCAGATAAAGAGAATGCTGGGAAGAGGAAGGCTGAATCAGGAGTCACCAGCCAGACACAGAGGGAGCAAGATGACAAGGCAGAACTGAGGAAAGGTACCAAGCCACATGGCTAAACATAAATAAGAATCATGGGTTAATTTAAGTGTAAGAGCTAGTCAGTAATAAACCTGAGCTAATGGCTGAGCAGTTATAATTAATATAAACTTCTGTGTGGTAATTTGGGAAGTGGCTGCTGGGTATTTGGGAGTTGTTGGTGGAACAGAAACTTCCACCAACAAAAGTGAGAAATAAACGCTTTGGCACAGGAGACAACTTTCTGAACAGAACACCAATAGCACAGGCACTAAGATCAACAATAAATGGGACCTCATGAAATTTAAAAGTTTCTGTAAGGCAAAGGACACCATTAATAAGACAAAACAACAGCCTACAAAATGGGGAAAAATCTTCACCAACCCCACATCTGATAGAGGACTGATGTCCAAAATATATAAGGAACTCAAGAAACTAGGTATTAGGCTGGAGAGATGGCTCAGTGGTTGAGCATTGACTGCTCTTCCAGAGGACCCAGGTTCAATTCCCAGCACCCACATGGCAGCTCATGGAATTACTATCTGTAATTCCAGTTCCAGGGGACCGGGCACCAATGGCAAAACACCAATGCACGTAAATAAATTTTAAAAAAAAGAAACTAGGTATCAACAAACCAAATAATCCAACTAAAAAATGAGGTACAGATCTAAACAGAGAATTCTCAAAAAAAATCAAACAGCAGAGAAACACTAAAGGAGATATTCAACACCCTTAATCATCAGAGAAATGTAAATCAAAACAACTCTGAGATACCATCTTACACCTATCAGAATAACTAAGATCAAAAACACAAATAACTGCTCATACTGTCAAGGATGTGGAACAAGTGGAGCAAGGGGAACCCTCCTCCATTGCTGGTGGGATTGCAAACTTGTACAGCCACTTTGAAAGTCAGTGTTGTGGTTTCTCTGAAAACTGGGAATCAACCTACCACAAGACCCAGCTATGTCGCTCTTGGACATATACCCAAAGGATGCTCAATCATACCACAAGGACACATGCTCAACTATATTCATAGCACCTTTATTTGTAATATTCAGAACCTGGAAACAACCTAGCTGTCCTTCAACTGAGGACTAGATAAAGAAAATGTGGTACATTTACACAATGTAGTACTACTCAGCTGTTAAAAACAAGGACACCGGGATATTTGAAAGCAAATGGATGGAACTAGAAAAAAAATCATCCTGAGTGAGGTAACCCAGACCCAGAAAGACAACGTGGTATGTACTCACTCATAAGTGGTTTTTAGCTGTAAAATAAAGGATAACCATGCTACAGTTCACAGACCCAGAGAGACTAAGTAATGAGGAGGGTTCATGGGGGGACACCTGGATATCCCTGGAAAGGGGAAATAGAAGAGATTTTATAAGGCAGGTGGGGATAGGAATATGAGTGATCAGGGTGGGGAGGGAGAGTACTGAAAGAGAATACTGGAAAGGGAGGTCATTTTGGGGTTAGGTAAAAATCTGGTGCAAGGGAATCTCCCAGGAATCTACATGGATGACCCAAGCTAAGACTTCTAGCAATAGCCTATAAGTAGCAGTTTCTTGATTAATGGTTGATGTGGGAGGGCCCAGTTCACTGTAGTTGGTACCATTCCTGGCCTGGTGGTCCTGGGTGCTATCAGAAAGCAGGCTCAGCAAGCTATGGTGAATCTTAGTTTAAAAGTTCTAAAGTTTTAGCCTATTTTTTTCTCCATTAAAAATGTTTGGCTTTGCCGGGTGGCGGTGGTGCACGCCTTTAATCCCAGCACTCAGGAGGCAGAGGTGGGTGGATCTATGTGAGTTCAAGACCAGCCTGGCCTACAGAGTGAGATCCAGGAAAGGAACCAAAACTACCAAAAAAAAAAAAAAAGGTTTGGCTTTATTGAGAAAGACTTCATTATGTAGTCTAGGATAGCTCTGAATCCATGATCTTCCTGACTTAATCTCTCATATAATGATGAATTTTATGTTGTGTGAATTCTGTCTCAAAGAAAGAGGCCTATTTAAGGAAAAGTATTGCCGCTGGGGGATGAGATGTAGCTCAATAGAACAGTGCTTGACTAGTTTTATGAGGTTCTGGGTTCAATCCCAATTAGTGGCAAAAAATAAAAAAGAGTCTTAAAGGAAAAATAATCACAGTAAAATTTTAATGCTTTTTACTTTAAAATAACTTGTCAATTCACCAAAAGTCACAAGAGTAGAATCCCTTGAACATTGGTCTGGCTTCCTGCAATGATGATATCTTATAGAAATGTAGTGTAATATCAAAATAGGCAATTAACATGGTACAATATTGTTAACTAGGCCTTATTCTGTTTTCACTATATTCACATGCATATTTTGTGTCTGTGAGCACATGTATGTGCACAACTTGGCTCTCTCTATAGATTAGTGTAGTCATTATGTCCATCATAATATAGAACTGTTTGATCACAACAGAGAAATGACCCCATATTATCCAATAAAATACCACCTTTACTATTGTCCCCTACTACTGTCTTCTCCATCTCTAAAGCTTTGTCATTTCAAGGATGATATGCAAGTGGGTCATATAATGTATAATCTTTTGAGATCTGCTCTTTTCACTAAGCACAATGGCTTAAAGATCTAAGTTACCATGTATCAAAGTAGCCTTCCTTTAACTGAGCAGTAATTGTTCCATGGCCTGATTGTGCCACAGTTGTTTAACCATTTATTCACTGAAAGACACTGTCTTAGTGTGTGTGTGTGTGTGTGTGTGTGTGTGTGTGTGTGTGTGTGTGTGGTGTAGGAGTCAGTTCCGCCCACTCTAGGTGGTTCTGGGGCTCAAACTCAGGTTGTCAGGCTTGTACAGCACTTGCTTTTATTCTCTGAGCCAGCTTGTTAGCCCATAGATTTGTTCTTCAATACCGAGTTTTGTGGGTCCTTTATAAATTCTAGATACTATTTGCTCAATGGACATATGGCTTGTAGATATTTTTTCCTAGTCTGTGCATTGTCTTTTCAACTTTTTAGATGAAGAACCTTGCTATGCAGTCTTCCTTGTCTCAGCCCCCCCCCCCCCCCCAAATGCTGGGAAAACAGGTGTGCTTCACGACATCAAACTTCTTTTCAACATTTTAAAAAATAATTTACTTTTACTTTATGTGCACTGGTGTTTTGTCTGCATGTATGTATGTGTGAGGGTGTCAGATCTTGGAGTTACAGATAGTTGTTTAGCTGCCATGTGGGTGCTGGGAATTGAACCTGGGCTCTCTGGAAGAGCAGTCAGTGCTCTTAACAGCTGAGCCATCTCTCCAGCCCTCTTTTCAACATTTTAATGGGGCCTTTTACAAAAAAAATCAGTTTTGTTGAAGCCCACTTATGAACTTTTTTTCTCTTGCATGAATTGAATGAGCTTCCTTATTGAAACTGCTATTAATTGCTACCAACTTGGTGACTCTATTTTTTGAAACAGGATCTTACTCTTTATCCTCTGGCTGGCCTGGAGCTCACTATATAGATCTGTCTGGCTCCAAACTCACAGAGACCCACCTGCTGAGATTACAGGCATGGGCCACCATGCCCAGCTTTGGCGACCTTTAAAACAACTAATCTGCTAGTCTTGAAGGCCAGAATGGATGTCACTGAGATAGAATTAAGATGTTGCTTTATTCTTTCTGGGTGCTCTAGGGAAGATCTATTTATTCCCTTGTCTCTCCTTTCTAATGACTGTCTGCATTTCTCAGCTCTTGGCTTTCTTCTAGCAGAGACATTACTCCACCTCTGCCATTGTCATCAGATCTCCTTCTAACTCTGATCTTTCTGTCTTTATGTTCTATGAACCCATGTGATAACACACATGGTAACGCATATGATCTCCACACAGAAGATCCTGGATAATCTCCAGATTTTTAAGTGAATCACTTCTACAATGTGTCTTTAGGGAAGGTGCTGGTTCACCGTTTCCAAGGATCAGGGTATGGCTGTAAATGGAAGTTTCTTGTTTTGACTGCTTATTCCCAAATAACCACTCTGAGGCTTATATTGATTATAAATGCTCAGCCAATAGCTCAGGCTTATTACTAACTAGCTCTTATATTTTAAGTTAACCCATATTCCTTACTTATGCTCTGCCACATAGTGGTACCTTTATTAGCATGGCATATTCATCTCCTGCTCCTTCTGTGTCTGACTGGTGACTCCTGACTCTGCCCTTCTCCCTCCCATCATCCTTAGTTTGGTTGCCCCACCTATACTTCCTGCCTGGCTACTGGCTGATCAGAGTTTTATTAAACCAATTCAAGTAACAAATTGTTACAGTGTACAAGAGGATTATTCCATAGCATATGGCCATCTTTGTAAGAGTCACTCTTCAGCCTTCTAGAAACATCTTGCTCTTGGTGTCTTGTCTATGAACTTCACTGAGTTCTAGGCTGTCAAAATTTTCTCTTAGGTATGTTTTCCCTTAAAAATATCATGTCTTATGCTCTATATTTAATCCCATTATTTGTCTTTCATTAATTGTTGTATAAGGTACGAGGAATCAATCCAGTTTTGATTATGTACAAAGTATGATCCAGAACAATAGAACCAAAGTAACTACCCCAAAGAAGGCCACTAAGATAGCTGCTCTTGCCAGGCGGTGGTGGCACATGCCTTTAATCCCAGCACTCGGGAGGCAGAGGCAGGCGGATCTCTATGAGTTCGAGGCCAGCCTGGTCTCCAAAGTGAGTTCCAGGAAAGGCGCAAAGCTACACAGAGAAACCCTGTCTCACAAAAAAAAAAAGATAGCTACTCTTTCACGTGTTTTCACTAATGGTGGAGCCAATCTGAAACAAAAACAGCACACGTGCCAAAAGGGATGCCATAGAACAATATCACTTATAAATTAACATGTAAGCATTTCAAACAAGGTAAGAATAAATTGAATTCAGAATCCCCTTAAAACTGGGCTGTGGTGGTGGCACATACCTTTAATCCCAGAGGCAGAGGCAGAAGATGGAAGAAGAATAGCATGTATATGTATGAAGATGTTACAATGAAATGCATTATTTTATACAATTAATATACACTGATAAAGGTAAGTCCCTTACAGAATTCTGCATCACTAGTAAGGTCTTATTCAACTACTGAAATATGGAAAACAATTTCTATAGTAGCTAACAAAGAAAAAATTCACATTTTTTTATACTGGGGAT